AGAACGGATGGGCCTCGGAGGATGTTACGGATGTGCAAGAAGCGGGAGACTTTGACTTTGAGGGTGGTCTCGCCAAGTTTGACAAGCAAAACCTCTTTGAGCAAATGCGCAAGGACGACACCGTCGACGACGCCGACCGGTTGGTCACGCACAACCGACAAACTCGCCCGAAGCCGGGAACGGGGGGCGGAAGGAATTTCCACCACACGGAAAACGTCCTCGAAACAACGCCGAGCACGAGCATCCTGAAATCCAGCCTTAACAGAGTCAAAGAGCCCGCCAATGACTTTTGGAATAGCGAGGCAGATGACGGCGCGCTCAATGGCGGGGAGCGTCTGAGCGGTAGGGAGCTCGGCGTTGGGATGGGCAGCCGGCAGAGCTCTCGCCGGGGGGAGAGCAAGGTCTCTGCTGGTCGGCGATCCCAGTCACGCAAGGCTAGTGGCGTTGCAACTGGGGCTGCCATCAACAGAGTCAATTCTGGTGTAAGCCATTACCGTGCCCAGTCTCTCAGGGGAAGTCGGCCCAGCAGCCGGCTCTCGGCCAACGCCGTGGTCGCTGACAAGACGAAGCAGCCCGCGACGCCTTCCCAGGGGCTGTACTTACTTCCGTCGAACCGACGCATCGAGCCCGTCTCGGCGCTGCAGATGCTCAACCTGGAGAACATTGCGCACAACGAGATTGGCTTGACGGAGGACATGATGACGGAGAATGCCGGACGCGGTATTGCCGAGGTCACCATCACGGCCCTCTCGGACCCAGCCATCCAGGTGCGACACGCGGGTGCCGTCGATCCCACGACGGGGAACCTGCCGCCTCTCACGGTTGTGGTTCTCGCGGGGAACAACAAGTCGGGTATCCGAGCCATCGCTGCCGCGCGTCACCTCCGCAACAAGGGGACCAATGTCATCGCTTGCGTGGTGGGCGTGGAACGGGGCGAGCGGGATCTCCTCGAAGACATGCGTCAACAAGTGCGCCTCTACAAGAACCTGGGAGGACGTATCTTCTCCAAGAGCGACTTCTTTGAGCACCTGCGCAAGATCAGCATGCCCATCCTGACGATTGACACGCCTCGCACGTCGCTCAGCAACCTGGTGAACCCGGCGCCGGTGATGCTGATTGTGGACGCCCTCCTCGGTCTCGCTATCACATTTGAGGAGCTGCGCAACGGAGATCAGGCCACGGTCTACGAGCTCATCGAGTGGGCCAACCGCAACGAGGCATTCGCCCTGGCCGTCGACATTCCAACGGGTATCGACCCCTCGTCTGGCAGAGTCAGCGTGGTGGACGGGAATCGGCTCTACGTCAAGCCTCGCTACGTGGTCGCCGTTGGCGCGCCGAAGCGTGGGCTTCTCGACGCCATGGTTGCCGCCGACAACGAGGATGGGGATACGGTTCTCGCCGGTGACGCGACGGTGCTGGATGACGGCGTCACGGACTGGAAGCTGTACCTGGTCGACCTGGGCTTTGGGCCGGCTATTTGGAAGAAGGCCGGGACCAAGATGCGCAAGGGCATCGACTTTGGGGACAAGTGGGTGCTGCCAATGAAGTTTCAGGGGGCAGCGCCTCCAGATGATGACGAACCGGGCGATGGCTTCCTGTAGGGTCAAGAGCCGTCTCGCGCTAAAGTCGAGGTACAGAGCTGCCGCAGCTTGATGGAACGCACTGAAAGACACGACCGACTCCTCAAGGTCCTCATATATCACGAGGTGGTGTGGCACTTGGGCGACGTAGACGGGACATTCATCAGGCTCTGGGGTGGTTTATGGGACGATGAGGATGTTGTTGTTGGGACGGGGGGTATGATTGAGGGAAGAAGGGGCGCAGTTCCTTTCTCGGGGGGCATTTTTGGCCGCAGCGACACGCATTGATTGCATTTTAGGCGTTTACACCAGCGACGGGACAAGGCGCCTTGCATTTCGTTTTGGGGGGCATCGGCGATTACAAGGTTTCAAACAGGCAGCGTGCTATTCCGGGACCAGGGGATTAGACAAGGGAGGGAACGGTGCTCGTTAGAAATAGGGTGCTTAAATTGATGGTTGTGATTCTCTTCTGAAGCCGTTGTCGACGGTGGAGTTGGAGCTGGAGGTGTCTCCCGTCTTTGATGGTGATCTGACCCACAAGTTGTTTATTGTCTCTGGTGGGGTTGGTGGTGACTCTCCCCCCGCAACTCAACATCATCCCGCCATCCCGAGAAGGCGGAGATGGACTGATCACAACAACCGCTCTCGACCTCGTCCGCGCTCATCTCACCCAGGGGGATACGATGGCGCCCTTCGTGACCCTCGCGACCTGCGCGCTGAACCAGTGGGCGCTGGACTTTGAGGGCAACCTCGGGCGCATCAAGCAGAGCATCCTCAAGGCCAAGGAGGCCGGCGCCACGCTCCGTGTCGGCCCCGAGCTCGAGATCCCCGGCTACGGCTGCCTGGACCACTTCCTCGAGACCGAGGTCTACGAGCACTCGTGGGACTCGCTCTTCTCCATCCTGACGGACGCGGACCTCCACGGCATCATCATCGACGTCGGCCTGCCCGTGCTGCACCGCAACTGCCGCTACAATGCGCGCGCTATCGTGCTCGACGGCAAGATCCTGTGCCTGCGCCCCAAGATCTACCTCGCCAACGACGGCAACTTTCGCGAGATGCGCTTCTTCACCCCTTGGAACCGCCCCCGCCACGTCGAGCAGTACTACCTGCCGCCACACGTCCAGAAGCAACAGGGCCGGAGACATGTCCCCATCGGCGACGTCGTCCTCTCCACCATCGACACCTGTCTCGCCGCCGAGACGTGCGAGGAGCTCTTCACCCCTAACAGCCCCCACATCAACATGGGGCTCAACGGCGTCGAGATCTTTACCAACAGCAGCGGCAGCCACCACTCGCTGCGTAAGCTAGACCAGCGCATCGCCTTGATCCAGGAGGCGACGCGCAAGAACGGTGGTGTCTACCTCTACTCGAACCAGCTTGTATGTCTCCCGTCCCCACCACACATTCAGTGTACTGACACCACCCCCAGGGCTGCGACGGCGACCGCCTCTACTATGACGGATGCGCCATGATCTTTGTCAATGGCGACATCGTCGGCCAGTCCAGCCAGTTCTCGCTCAACGAGGTCGAAGTCATCACAGCCACCATCGACCTCGAAGAAGTCCGCGCCTTCCGCGCTACCGCCTCGCGCGGCCTCCAGGCCGTCGCCGCCCCCGAGTACCAGCGCATCGAGGTCGACTTTGCCCTCGCCCGCGACGCCCTCGACCTCGACGTGTCGCGCACCCTGCCCCGCCCGCCGCGCTACCACCTCCCTGAGGAGGAGATCGCCCTCGGCCCGGCCTGCTGGCTGTGGGATTACCTGCGCCGGTCGCGGCAGGCGGGCTACTTTGTCCCGCTGTCGGGGGGCATTGACAGCTGCGCGACGGCGACGATTGTGTACTCGATGTGTCGGCTGGTCGTGGCGGCGCTGGCCGAGGGGAACGAGACGGTGGTGAAGGATGTGAAGAGGATTGCCGTGTTTGGGGACGGGAAACTGCCGACGACGCCGGAGGAGCTGTGCGGGCAGATTTTCTACACGTGCTACATGGGCATGGAGAAGCAGAGCAGCAAGGAGACGAGGGAGAGGGCAAAGGCGCTGGCGGAGCGGATTGGCGCGTACCATACCGATGTGAACATCGACGACGTGTTTCACTCGACGAAGAATATCCTGACGCAGGCGACGGGGTTTGAGCCCAAGTTTAGAGGTGAGCGGTATCCGTGTCCTTGGGAGGAGGCTATGGTTGCTAACAGGGGTCCAGTTCACGGGGGGTCCAACACGCAGAACCTAGCGCTGCAGAATATCCAGGCGCGGTCGAGGATGGTGATTGCGTATTACTTTGCGCAGGAGCTGTGCGAGGTCAGGGAGCGCCCCGGCGGTGGCTCGCTTCTCGTCCTGGGGAGCTCCAACGTGGACGAGTGCCTGCGCGGATGTGAGTATCTACGATGTTAACGCGCCCCTTTCCTCGCGGCGGGATGCTAACTCAAAACAGACTTGACCAAATACGACTGCTCCTCCGCGGACATCAACCCCATCGGGTCCATCAGCAAGGTCGATCTGGTAAGTTTCAACCACCCAACTTTCGAACTAGGAAAAACTAACACCTTCAGAAACGCTTCATTGCCTGGGCCGCCACCGACTTTGACATGCTTATCCTCAAGGACTTTATCGAGGCCATTCCCACGGCCGAACTCGAGCCCATCACGGCCGACTATGTACGTCCCCCCCTCCTAAGTCTATTTTCATACAGACAGAACTCCCCGCTCACACCCATGTCCCCAACACCAGGTCCAAAGCGACGAAGTCGACATGCAAATGACGTACGCACAGCTCTCGCGCTTCGGAACCCTCCGAAAGGTCAACAAGCTCGGCCCCTACGGCGTCTTCCTCCACCTCCAGAAGGAGTGGGGCGGCGAGGGGGGCATGACGCCGCGCGAGGTCGCGCACAAGGTTAAGCTGTTCTTTCACTTCTTTCAGGTATGTACATGTCTTTTGCGTGTGTTCTCGGCGGACACCGTGCCGGATGCTGACGAAGAGGGCCACAGATCAACCGCCACAAGCAGACGGTCGCCACGCCGGCGTACCACGCCGAGAGCTACAGCCCGGACGATCACAGGTTCGACCTGCGGCCGTTTTTGTATCCCCCTGCGTTTGAGAGCTGGTCGTTTAGGAAAATTGATGAGAGGGTGGAGGCGTTGGAGAGGAGGGAGAGGGGGGGCGCGTAGGGTAGGTGGGTGTTGAAGGTACCTTGGGCGGCTGTACCTAGGTACAAGCCTTACTTTAGGACTGTGACTGTGAAAGTGAAGACGTCCCTCAAGAGGCCCCTTATTCTTGTCTCCGTATCCCACCGCCGCCGGGACGTCCCTGACTCGGACGGAACCTCCCCCCACCCGGGGTGGAATACCTCGGTCCTACAACCCACTTTCCCGTCACTTCTCAAGCCCTGTTTTCCGACCCAACCCACATCTTCAAGAGAGTTCGGTTGTATAGTGTAGTTGGTTATCATATCGGATTCTGATGTCCTGCATCTGAACTTCCGGGGACCTGAGTTCGAATCTCGGTACGACCTCTTGAGCACACATCTGCCACCACCTGGTGGGTGAGCCCTTTCTTTGACGGGGCGTGAAGAGGGCTTTTCTTTTTCTCAATGTGTGCAGCGCTGGGTTGGGTTGGGTTGGGTAGGTTAAGTCTACATACCTATCCACGTTGACAGTCCCCATGCCCATCCCAAGCGCAATAAGCGCCAGGCGTATCATCTAAACAAAGCCCTGGAATACACTCTTCTTCTTTTGCAGCTGTGTAAGCACACAGCTGTACGTCTGACGGACTGGAATCTTCACCCCTCGGCTCCAACAACTCCCCTCCCTCCGGGCAAGGAACAATCACATAGGACGAGGGGAACCTAAAGTCGCATTGGGTCGCTGAGCGCAGCGGCAGCTGGGCGAACCGCCCTTCGCAAGGATGGGTCTTGCAGTGACTCGGTCAGCCGCTGATACTCGGCCTCCAGCTCGTCTCTGGAGACGTCCTTGGTCGCCGTCTCAAAGTCCAGAAGAACGACTCTGCCATCGTCCCGCACCAGAAAATTATGCTTGTTGATATCGCCGTGCTTGACGCCCAGCGAATGCAGCTTCTGGAGGACGCTCTGGCACGCGGCAAGATCTCCCGGTCCGGCCGCCCCGGCGTTGCTAATGTACTCCAGCACGAAGCCGATGACCCGGCCCTCCTCGGTGAGATGGCCCAGAAACCGGGGGTCGCCACGTCGGAACCCTCGATCCACCGGTACGCGGCCGTCTCGGCCTCGAGATGGGGCGTCTGCCAGGGAAACTCGGTGAACTTGGCCACCACGGGGCGGTCGAAGCGCGGATGCGAGGCGATGTGGATGCTCTAGCGAAGACGCTCCATGGTGCGAAGCTTCAGGTGGCCGATGCGGGTTACGTGCCATGTGGCCTGGACGCCGGGTAGGTTGGCCTTTGCGGTGCTGAGAAAGGCCGGCTCTCCGCCGCTGGCGTCTTCGCGGCCGACGTGGCCCGTGTTCCAGTCGCCTGGGGGGAACGACGGCAGGCCGGCGAGCACGGCTGGGGCAAATGTCCGGTTGTCCTTTGGGAGGGTGCCGGGTGCCACGGTAACGTACTTGACGTGAGTGCCGTCTACAAGGAAACGGTATTCGCTCTCATCTTCATCGTCAGCGTCCACGAGTGTTGCCAGCAGTTGGACGTTGTTGTTTTGGCGGCTTCCATGATTAGAGAATATCGTGGAAGAGTAGTAGCAACGATTCGACCCCGCTCTTTCGGCAGCAGCAGACCACCAAGCCAGAGACACCATCAACCATCATATTATTTTAAGCATCGGCAAGGAAAAGGGCTGTATTCGAGCCTGGATGAGAAAGAGGAGAGTCGAATCAAAACAAACGCCCGCCAGCTGCTCGCATCTTGGTATGCGGACCCTGAAATGGATGTTGGGACTGGATCTCTGGAGGCTCACAGTCCAACCTCGGCAGCAACGGCACTAACCAGGCACTCCAAAGGGAAACGGGACGACTATGTGCACACAAAGGATCGGCAATACACTTGTGGGTGCACCAAGGATGAGGAATCCAAACAGTGTGTCCAGCGGCAGGGAACGAATATCAAGTGCACCCCAGTCGAGCGGGAGCCTTTGGACCCGTCCGCACACATGTGTAAGAAGCACATGGTCAAGGAAGGAAAGGACGAGATGCGTCGTGCCTAGTAACGGACTTTGGACGATGATGTGTTGATCGGGATTCTTGACGTCGGTACAAGTCGAGGTAGAACCTATCAGTCCATGTATTGCTAGGGAAGAGAACTGGAAATTTGGGAGGCATGGTAGTCTTGAACGTGCTGGACGATAGCTTGCCGGTTGTACTGGATTCTGAAGTGACTCGAAGGCTCCGTATTGTCTCGACAAAGGGAGCAGTGCAATCCCCAGTCTGCCACCTGCTCACGCAAATGGAGGCGCGGCGCCGCAACAATGGACATGTACCGTCGAGGCTCAGTTTTCGTATAGTCGACTCTCTTGTTCAGCATCTCAGCCTTTTTGGACAGGCGCAGCAGGGTTGGGCGGTCGATCAAGGTCACCCTGCTCCTGGAAAGCTTTCCTCTTGCCGTATAACGCCCAGGAAGACCGAGCACCTGCGGAAGGCCGCTCAATGCCTTCTTCGGCAGCATGGCTTCCCGGGCTGCAAGAGCCAGTGAGATGGGGAAATATTCCTTCCTTCTTGTAAAGCAAAAGTAACAGACTCGTTTGCAGGTAATAAGGTAGAGGTAGGCGCCAAAGAGATTGCAGGATTCGCATTTCCCCCCCGTCAATACCTGGAAGAGAGCTGCGCAGCTGAAGGAGGCGGCGTTGATGCTGACCACCGCACGCAAAATAGTGGGGCAAGACGTCCAGTCGTCGATATGGCGGCAGAGAGTCGACAAGAAGCAGAGCTCGCTGGTTGACGCGTCGAAAAGTAGTCAATGTCGGAATATCGAGCATCTGAAGCACTTGGTCGATAAGCTCGATTAGCAGCAGGTCGAGCTAGCCGACTGATCTCTTCGGTAGCATGACGTGTTTGCCGTTGTCGAGTGGGCACCGCGCTTCAAGTTCAGCATCATCCAAGGTGTAGTCGACAATCCTGAGCTTCTGGCGACAGTAATTTCTTGCGTTGCCCAGGGAAAGGTGCCTCGTATCCATGATGGCGTGCAGGTACAGGGGGCGCCGGTTGCGGGATCGCAGTCGTGAAGAGCCGTAATCGTACAGGTATCAAGACGGAGATGTTGGTTGAGATCTGATAGGCGAGACCTCGGTGGGCGAGATATTGTGGTCGGTCACGCACGTGGGCAGAGGAAATTGGCGAGAACTGGCAAGGTTAGCAGTGCTCTGGCGATTGCAGCTGGGGCGTGATTACTCCCAAACGCGCAATCGTTGCTCTCTCAAACGCGCAATCACGACTCGCTTGGCATTGCGCGCCGTGCGGATGGAAGAAGTAATGTCGGCTGCAAAGGCGGCAGAGTGGTGATGGACGTGAGGAAGGTGAAGATTGGCTGAGGTGGTTGATTGAGGTGGAAGATCGAAGACTCATCGCGGTTGTGGAGTTGTGAAGAGTTGGAGATTGATAGAGGTGGACTGAGGACCCGTCGATCTCGCGGGGTCACATGACAGCAGGTGTGGGAGGCGCCCGTTTCCTAAACTCCCGAACTGCTTCTTCAGGGCCCCCTTGTTTCCATCTGTAACCGCCAGCAGACTAGTAGTTGGGTCTGCGACGACCAGCGAAAGCCTGGTGCTGTGTGCTCTTTTTGGCCCAGCCCTGTCCCAATTTGGTCGTCTTCCCTTTTTGTCTGCAAGAATGTCTCTTCTTGGATGTAGTTGTTGTTTTCCTTTCTTTGCCCCTTGTGTCTTGACATTGTCTTCCCCCACAATTCTGTGGTGTTATGTCGTTGAGGGGCCGATCGGACGGGGCATTTACATGCTGGAAAGGGGCAACTTTGCGTCCAGTGAGTGATGCATCATTGACGTGTCAATCCTCGCTTCGGCCTGGGCCGTGACGGCATCTCGTTCCGCAGGCCAATCAAGCTTGGACTGGCACCTCCCGAGAGGCAGACCTCGCTGCTTAGCTTCCCTCATCTCAGCCAGCCCCCAGCCTCGGCGTTCAAGTCTGAGACGTCTAGACTGTACAACTCGATGAGGCGCATTTTACTATACTCATTCAAATACGCTGAGTTTCCACTCCGTCATGTCCACGCAAAGCCATTCCGTGCATGATTCACTGAAAAGTTGGATGTGTTCTGTTTAATTTCTTCTCTACTTCTCCCTTCTGCGCTGGAGCTGCTCCATCTCGATGCTGGGTTCGATACCCTTCTCCCTCTCTCGGCTCGACGTCTGTCTCTTCTGGACTCGGCTCGCCAACTCATACGTATTCCCGCCATCTCCTCCCATGTTCAACACCCGCGAGGCTTCACCCCCGGAGCGGGTGCCAACTCCCCTCTCCCCCCTCTCCCACCGTCCACCGACCCAGCCGAGCCGGCAAATCAACAAAGGAACTCTCTCCAAGAGGGTCTCCCTCCACACAAGCAAGGGAGGGATCCCGGTGTGCGATGCCTGCTGCTGCTGGCAAAGAAAAGTCCACCAATGCCCAAGTCTCCCCAAATTTTTCTCTTTCGCCCTTCCCAGTTGCCTGTGACCGCCCATCTGGACTCCTTATTTATATACCGTTGCTCCTCAAAACACCCCCCCAGCCCCGCTCCCCCCATTCGACATAGGAAACACGTGGTGTGTGTAAAGCTGTACAGAGGCACCCCTCCTCAGTGCGAAGAGATGTATCCAAACAGAAAATATCAGCCGTGTCGGAAAGACGAGCACCAAAAAGATCCCGCAAAAACAAGAACCACCCAATTCTATACACCCAATCTCACATCGCGTCTATGCTTATATTCACAGGTTTGGTGACCCTCAGATCCGCGCGCCGCTGAGGTGCGACGACGGAAAGAGAGCGTATTGGTTGGCGGGGGGCGGGGTGCTCAGGCTCGTCGTCCTGGCACGCTGACGCCGGGCGATGATCGAGTCCTTGCGCTTGAGCGGGTCGTCCACGACGAACCGCTTCAGGTTCGACTCGCTGCTCCGGCCGCCAAAGTGGCCTCGGGCAGCGAACCCGGCCTCCTCCGTCTCGGGAAGGGTGGGCATCGTCACCTTGTCCGTCTTGGCGTGCGTCTCCAAGACGGGGAATGGCTGGAGCGCCTCGGCCTTGACCGAAAAGCTCTCCGTGTCGAGCGATCCCGTGCTCGCCGTCAGCCGGGTGAAGTCGGTCGACGACGAAGCCGCCGACGTGTGCTTCTCGAATCCGGAGTGGCCGCTCTCAAAGGTCCCCGTGGTGGATGCGCTCGTGCGGTATTGCTGCTGCATCGATGTGTCCAGGGCCAGAGCAGGCTCGTCGAAAGGGTGATAGGCAAACTCGCGGGCATCGGCCTCGGCAGCCATCATCTGCAGCTGATAATCGTTGGGGATGAGGAGGGATGGCGACAAGTTGAAGCCGTGCGATTCCTTAAAGCTGGAAGCGTCGGATGGCTTGCGCAG